CAGGTTATATGTGTGAGATGTCAAGCGAATGTTTGAAGTGTGTGAAAAAGTGAAAGCGGATACAAAGACAGAAGTAAGGAGGCTGTGCTGTGTGAGTATAAAAACACAATTTTTGGAGCTTTTAGGCTGGTGTGTAGGAGGTCATCCTGAGTTTAATTGGATTAAGCTTAAAAGACTTTTTGCTTGAAAAGTAAATCAGAAGACAATGTCTTCCGGGACCACAATTGAAATTATATCCTAGTGGTCACAAGGGTATTGAGCGAAAGGCCTCGTCGGGTACTGGATATAACAGATATAATGTAGTTGACATGTCACTAAATATTCTTCTTTACTTTCATTCATAAGCTCTTAGAATTAACAATCACTTTAAATTTCGTAGCTTCTTCATTCAACAATACATACATTTGGGTTAACTTACTAGCACTAAAAATATGTCGAGTAAACATTCGAGGTTAACTATTTGTGTTCATTGCAATTATTTTTTATACGTTATATTTTGATAAAACGTATTATCTGACCTATAACAAAAGCATTATAATGATTAAATTAAAGTTAAGTTAAATTATAACCTAACTTATATGTCTCTGTGACACACTTCGTGTGCTTGTTTTATTAAGTAATCCAAACTGATATTTCAGGTAATTTTTCTCCTATATAAGTTTAAACTACGTATCCACTCAAGTTTGTTTGTTTCTTACCAGTTATTTCCGGTCGCTGTTTTTACACGATTAAAACATTTTAAGATGTTACTTTTTCTCTCATAATATTTCAAAATGGATTTCAACAGTAGCTTAGAATTAAATATCTGTAAGAAAAATCACCAACATATTTTCCCTTTCTTCTTAAACTTTTTCCATATTCCCATGTATTACAAATATATTCATATCCGGGGTTCGATTCCCCGTGGACATATCAGATGGCTTAATCTGACTTTGTTCTAAAACAAACAAACTTTTCATCTAAAAATAACGTGTTTTTCAGTATTAAAAACAAAACATTTGATATGTTGAAAAGAAACCTATTTTTTCGCGGTATAACTTATTTTTCAGGCTGTTATTACATCTTTCTTTTTTAACATTAAATAGACTTGTTTGGACTAATAAACGTTTCCTTTTCATCAACATACATCTCTGAAAACGAAATTTAGGTCAAATGGTAAATTTTCTTATTTCGTTCAGATGATTATTTAGATATATAAATAAATACGTTTTGTTTGTTTATGAAACTAAACATTTCCTCCTTGTTTCATATATATATATAAATATTGAATAAGCTAAGACATGAAATTCCATTTCATTTCATGTTATGTAGATAATTTTTAAGCTAATTTTATATCATTGGTTAACAGTACTTCGTTTCTTAAGCCGCCTGACAAACCTGACCAGCAGTCAAGTGTCATGTCTTGACCTATTTCATTGGTTGACTTAACTAGTTTTACATTTACTCGTTAAAGGTACTTTCCCTCCCATCATTCACGTTATACTCTACAACTAGAGTCTCATCATGGACGGTTTAAAACATGTATTTCGTGGTTGCTGTTTCACGTAACACCCCATTTACGTGCTATTCTAGATGTTTTCACATTTAGCCAGAAAGATCTGGGTAATGGATATAAGCGACTTACTGCCCCTGCTGCGGGTCTGTCGATGGTCAGATTGCTTTTCTTGCGTGTCAAAGAAGTTAACCTTATTTCTTTAAGTTTTGGTCTCTGTTCAACTTAATATAATTTATGAGTGCGTAGTTGTTGCATGTGCATATTGGTTAAGCATCAGTAAGCTCTGTCGTACCTGATCCTCTTTAGTTCGGTTCATTTGAACACTATACTCTACCAATTGCTCATCACATTTCTTAGTTCAAAGTTTCGAAACATTTTCACACATCACCTGAGAGTGATTGTACGTCTTTAGCTGCTCCACGAGCTTCCAAAAGTCTGTTCTTCTAAGCCAACCCACCCTGGCTGTTGTAACTGTTTTTAACTTCAGGAAAATACGTACAATTCAGGTTCTAAGTTGAGGATGCAATCGTTTATTTGGACGCGAATAACACCCGTTCCGAAATTCCAAAGCAAATGATGAAAGAGGTTAAAGGCTATTTCAGTCAAGATATTCCTGCTTTGGGCGGTAAAACAATGCTATTTTAGTAGGGTTAGACAAGTTTCGGCCGTATTCTCGGCAAAACACAAATACCTATTGAACTTCTTGAAAGAAGTAAACTACAGTCATTCCAGTAGCTATGGTGGGAGCTTGCCATTCCTACTTAAGCTTGAGAAAGTCCACTGTCAATGAGAAGCCTAGAAGTGAATAATCCCCTTTCTCATCTTCACTCTCTTATTCAATACTAGCGAAAGTACCCGGCTTCGCTCGGGTTATTAGGTTGATTTATTCTAGAAGACTATATCAGTGTGTGAATTCTGAACTCATTTTATTACTAAGAATATTTCTACCACCAGTTTCATCCTCTTCTTTAGTACTGAGAATGTCTCTACTACTGATCTTCACCCCTTCTTCATTACTAATAATGTCTCTACCACCAGTTTTCATCCTCTTCTTTAGTACTGAGAATGTCTCTACTACTGATCTTCACCCCTTCTTCATTACTAATAATGTCTCTACCACCAGTTTCATCCTCTTCTTTAATACTGAGAATGTCTCTACTACTGATCTTCGCCCCTTCTTCATTACTAATAATGTTCCAGTTCTGGTTTATAGATCCAGGGAATTCCGGGAATTTTCGCTTCCTTTCTGCTCCATAGTTTAGACAACCTGTAGTAGCTTTTCACTGTCCTCTATGCGAATTCTTAATTCCTACAGTAACGATCACATCAGATCAAGCCGGAAAATGTATTAGCCAGCATAATATTGTGTCATCTAACGAACTGCTTCATTCATCTTTCCTGGTAGGATAGAATAATTTCATTTCTATCATCATCAGTATTTCACTGTTATGGACTAGATATATTTCCAGCAGAACAGGAGACTGTCTATTGACTATGTTGTACATACGAGATGGCTGTGTTGTACATACTAGAACAAGTGTCATTTCTCTACCACTGGTGCCATTGACAAAGAGAAAGAGAGATTTTATATTTTGTTTTTTGGTGCTATTGTTTCTGGCCAATTTGAAAAAGTAAGATGTTAAGATGTACCTCTTTTCATTTTAATATACAGGGAGAAGACATAAAAGAGCGTTGACCTTCATACAAAGAAGGCTAAAAGTCTATAAGATACTGGTACTTCATGTACCACTATAAGCTTTCTTTTTCATTAAATTCATATTTAGTCTTACTTTAATATAGCGAAGCTTTATGACATCAAGAATGAATTAGAAACATTTATTAAAAAATACAATCGTCATTCGTTGCACAGCATGCTCGTGGATATACAACAAAAAAAGCAGTTTTCAAAATGCGTTTTAGATAAAATCATAAATAATATTCAACGTGAAACTGGAACACAATTAAAAACATTTTATTTAGGCCTATCTATGGCCTTCAAAAAGTTGACGACTCTTCATGTTTCGACTTTACAACGTCATCCTGTAACGTCGAAACATGTAGAGTCGTCACTTTTGAGGCATAGATAGGCCTAATAAATAAATGTTTACTAAATTGTAGT